GGCCAGGCCACGCTGCTCCATCCGCTCATTACCAATCCTGCTAATTTTATTCCAGATTATTTATGTTTTTTCATGAGCGGCCATTAAATGTTCATTTGTTAAAGGCTTAACACATTCCATTACACCACAAAATTTATATTTGCAACAAAACGATGTCTCAGAGTGATTCAGAATTAAATTAATGTGACACGGACTATTTATCAATATGGCAGCTTGGCTGCTCGGGAACAAGGGATGATTTAGTGGCGTGGATGTGTGCAAACCTATGGGCTCTGCCCTGGTATTTCTCTCATACTGCAGAGGAACTGATAAAATAATCCTCCAAAGTACCTCGACATATGGTTTAGATCATCAAAGAGAAAAATACTTGTAAAAGCACAAAGAAGGAAACCAATAAACATGTACATCTTACCAGTTAACTCCCTCCGTAGGAAATGTAAACCATGAAGGATGGTGGGGTTTGAGTCAAATTCTGTCATTTGTGTATTTTTTTAATTACAGTAACATGCTGGGTCAAATTACAGCGTGTCCACTCAGACAATGGCAGCGCAGGAAGGAGGCAGGAGCTGGTGCAGATCAGCAGCTTTGCCCTGATTTACACCAGCAGAAGGCTGAGCCCATTTCAGTCACTGCCCCTCTGAACTTAGAATAGAATGGTTTGGGTTGGAAGGCATTTTTTAGGTCATCTAGTCCAAACCTGCGTGGGTTTGTCCCCGTTCCAGGCCTCGCTGGGTTGTTTTTCCTAAAGGAAGAAATTTACGATGCAGTGCTAACTTTTGAAGCCTTTTTTATTTTTAAATAAGCACGGTGTCCTTGTATAAAAGATTTAATGTTTGTTTTTAGAGAGGAGCAAGGCTAAAATCAACCTGTGTTTTTGCAGATTCACCGCAACATTTATCACACATTTTATCAATTTCCTACTTTTTTAAGCAAATTGAAAATCTTTGTTTTACTCTACCATGTACCATATCAACTTGCTATTTTTTTAAGGAAATTGAAAATCTCCATATATTTGGGATTTGTTCTACCACATACCAGAGTTTAGGCAGTGATACTGTAGTGTATTGAGGTTATTTTTTAAAAATATGTACACTTTGGCTCCATTTATTCAGCAACCTATTTCAAGTGTGAAATTACCTAAAAGATAAAACTCCCCTTGCATTTATTGCACATTCCAGCACCAAATTCAAGCAGTAAATGAAATGAAGTACATCAAGTCACTCGAGACACTACTGTAGCACACCTGAATTAATAATTTCCTAAATTCTCCAAAATAAACTGTGTGATTGTCAGACATTTACCAAAGTATCAGACAACGTTTATAATACAAATGAGTTCAGGAAAAGATGAGTCTTTCCTCTGGTGGAATTCTCTTTATTTTCCCGTATCTTTTTAGCCACATGGAAATGAATCTCACTTTTGAATTCCCAGCAATGTGTTGGGAGATCTGCTCTGCCACGATGTGTTTCAAATACTTTCTGCTCTTTTGAAGCAGTATCTAACATTCTTCATGGGTAAATCAGCCGTTTCCCAATGATTTTCTCTGGATTCCTTTATATTTTGTCACGTCAAACTTTGCGGTTACAGAGGTGCAGGAGTTATTTATGGCTTCCTTGAACATCCTCCATTTCCTAGAAGACATTGTCTGTCACCTGCAGTAACCAGGGAAATTTATGAAGCGCATCACCAGCTCCATTTGTGATGATGTCACTCTCTTTAAGGGAATGACTCCTCCACTTACTGTCAATATTTCAAGTGGAAAGTACCAAACTTAACCTTAAATGGATTCCACTTGGATTTCTTTCTCATCGATCACATAGATAAGCTCCATCATTTTGTTATTCCACAGTCTCAGTTTTATAAAATAAAGAAATGGGTTTTCTTCCGGCTCTGTTCTGCACATCTCACCCTGAGCTCGGCCAAGAAACCCCTCCTTTGTACCCCTGCATTGCACCCCAAAGCCCAGCACAGATCCAGGATGCGATCCCAGACCTCATGGGGACCCCACGACACATTTTAGCCTGAGGAAAAGGAGGTTCAGGGGGGACCTTCTCACTCTCTCCAGCTCCCTGACAGGAGGGTGGAGCCAGGTGGGGGTCGGGCTCTGCTCCCAGGGAACAGAGACGGGATGAAACACCCTGAAGTTGCAACAGGGGAGGTTTGGATTGGATATTAGGGAAAAATTCTTCATGGAAAGGGATGGAAAGCATTGAAAGAGACTGCCCAAGGCAGTACTTGAATCACCATCCCTAGTAGTGTTCAAAAACTGTGCGGATGTGGCAGCTGAAGACGTGGTTTAGTTGTGAACATGGTGGTGGTGCTGCAATGATGGTTGGACTTGATTGTCTTAAAAGTCTTTTCCAGTCTGAGCAATTCTATGATTCTGTCTCTTGTCTGCTCATTTTGCAACAGGTTTAATTCTGTCTGGGAGCTAAAGATGTCGTTTTTAGATCACCCTTATCTTTCATTTTTAATATCATAGAATCCTGGAATGGTTTAGGTTGTAAGGGACCTTAAATACCATCTCATTCCACCCCCTGCCATGGGCAGGGACACCTTCCACTAGCCCAGATTGCTCTAACCCCTGTCCATCCTGGCCTTGAACACTTCCAGGGATCCAGGGGCAGCCACAGCTTCTCTGGGCAACCTGTGCCAGGGCCTCCCCACCCTCACAGTAGTGCTGGTAACCATCTGGTCTCTGAAGGAGGTGGGAAATTGTCAGGCAATGAAAGGAAATACAACTCATTGAGTTTTTTAGCAGGAATTTACAGATTTGCCACCAAATCTCCTGAAAAACACAGGTTTTATTTACCCAGAATAACATTTACCAAAAGGCCCCAAAACCGAGGCAGGCCTCGGAGTTTAGCAGCACAGTTTCTACCCTTAACTGATTTCACACCAAAATGAGGAAAATGCATTAGCAGCTGGAAATCCTCCTGACCCAGGAATTTCACCTACAATTAGAGAAAACCGTCAACTGTGTTGGCCATCTGCTATTTCTTTTCTGAAGACGATCAAACACTCAAGAAAAATGCTCCTTTTGTGAAGTGTTGTCGGGGGAACAAGTGCAATGACGTGGGTCCATATTTATCTAGGAAAGCAAATAAACCGCTTGTCCTGCAAAGGGAATTAAATGGAAAACTCCTGAGGACACAGATCATGTGTGAAGTCAGCCACAAGGCCGTTTTTTGGGATATTCATGGCCTCAGCGTGTTTCTGTTGTGTTTTTCTTCACCGCACACCTGATGTGAGTAACGTCATTCAAGCGCTCTGCAGTCGCTCTCTCTCCCCAGCCAGGCCACCACGTCAGGACGTGCACCTTGAAGCCTTTAAAGCCTCAGTCCCCCTTTCATGTTTTAACTTTCATTTTGTGCAATAATCTCGGGACGACTTCGTTTTGTAACATATTTTTCAGAACAAACTTCATGCCCACACTTAATGTGCCTGAAGGCCACTGTGCTGTAAGAAAATTGATGGACACTTGCTGGAAGAAAAAGGGTAGGATATATATAATTTTTTTACCCAAATGCCAGATTTTTCATACATTTTTGCTTTTTAGTTATTTTTTTGATCGCAGATATTTATTTATTCCTTGGGGCTGGCTTTCCTCCCCCCCAGAACTCTTCCCAGTGCCGTCTCCTCCTGGCTTCCCTCACCTGCCTGATGCTCCAGACACCTCCAGCTTCAAACAGTGCAGTTGTGCAGCCTTTGTGTTTTCAGTCTGCTGTGGAGGAAGCCCTTGTGATGGTGTCTGAGGTCATTCTGGCTCATGTTTTCCATGAGGTGAAGGGTTTGGGCTTGGGTTTCTACCATTTCAGGTCCCTCCTGCCAAGGAGCTGAGCACCTTCCCTGGGTCAAGGATGGTCACTCTGCCCTCGGGTTTGGAAAGGGACTGATTTCCTGCAAAAACGATCTTTTAATGGTTTTCTTGGAGACCCTGCAGGCATCACATGCTTCCACACCCAAGCACAAACCAGGAGGCCTTGCCATGCAGGCTGGTGATTTGGAGCTATGCTGAAGGTAGCAAGGGCACGGGATCATCTCTCCAGCTGTCAGGAATTGCTTGAGCAGTGGGTGTCTCTCTACCCACCAGCTGCTCAAGCTCAGGCTGCCTTCATGGGACGTCACATCTCCTCAGAGAAGGACCCTACAACCCAAACATGTCCCACCTTGGGGTGCTGGACTGGGGGATGCCGTGGGCAGGTGGCCAAGGGACACCCCGTGGAACCCCAGCTGTGTCCACACCACGTGGAGGTGAGTCTGGGCGTGTGTCTGGCCAAGCCAGAGGAGCACAGATGAAACCTCTTTCCAATACATAATAAAAGGAGAGTGGAGCCAGCTGGAATATCCTGTACATTAAGTGTGATGACTAACTATAGCAGATGTTGGTGCATTTGTTAAAGTTTCCACCAGAGAAGGAGGGACTGGAATATGAGCGTTTGAAAATCAAAGGTAGCCCATGAGGGAGGAGAAACGGGAGATGAAAGGGAACAGGGCTGTGGGGAGGGCCAGGAAGATGAGGGGGGAAACTGTGGTCTGGGATAAGGGGCCAGGGGAAGTTTGCAAGGGCTGGGCAGGGGCTGTGTGTTGGGCTCCTTCCTCTGGAGGAAAGGGCTGTGGAGCCTTCTGCAGCAAGAGGATAAATGGCTCCATTCCCAAGGGTGAAAGAGATGGAAAATCAGAGACACGGCTCTGGGCAGACATGGAAAGCAGTGCTCAGGAGCTGTGCACACATCTCCCACCCTGAGCCACCACCAGGGGAAATTCTGAGGTCCCTTATCACACCTCCACCCCGGTTATGCTGCACCAGAGTGCCAGGAACCGGGAACCTCTCTGGCAAGGCATCTCCTTTGCCTGTTGTGGAATAATCAGTTCCTCCTCCTTAACAAGTATATTCACCTTGGTGTAATTAAACTATTCCAAAAAGTCACAACTTCTTATTTACAGGAGAAAGGATAAATGCATTTAATTCATTTTATTGCAATGCAATGGTATTAACTGTCCTTTCTTGTCAGTACAGTTTTCTGAGGAGTGTCTGTCCAGGAAAGCTGGTCCTGCTTCTCAAAAACATGATGTGAGATTTCCTGACTGATCTCTCTTTCTGACAAAAAAAAAAAAAAAGCGAGTTGTAATATTCCTCAAAAAAAGTAAAATCCGTTTTAAAAACAGGTTAGAAAACATATTTTTTGTGGCTTAAAACAGACCTATATTATGCTGTCTTACCTGCTTTGTTTTTTCCCCAACATTGTCAAGACTAGATTAGAACATTCTGCTTAGAGAAAAAAAATATATCTTACAGCAAATTCAGTTCCCAGTGAGCAAAATTAGCCATACAAAGAAAATCACAATTTTATGGAGATGTTTGCAAACTCTTTATATCTTCTAATTCTCTAAGTAACTTGGTGATTTTTAAAAATCCTAAAGAGCATAACCAGCACTTGACTTTCCTCTTCTCTTTCACTGGTCAAATATTTTGCAAGCATAGATCTGTTGACCAATTTTTAAGCAAAATTCAAGGAGGAATCTTATCCCCTAAGAAAATGGAGTAGGAAGCACCCAAAAATAATTTATTAGTGTGGCTGCACACCTATCCAAACTGATCTTTCTCCCTTTAATGTTAGAATAATTATAACATGATGTATCAACTGATGTATGAAGCAATTTCCCTCAATATTTAGTAATTGCCTGCTGTGGGTCTGATGTAACAGTTTCTCAGATTTATTCAGCCAAGTGTTTCCCTCCACACAGGGCAGCACAACTCAAAGCTTAAATTCCTTATACACAAAATTATAAATGGCAATGAGTAGAGAATACATGTAACTGATCTATGTGTTCCTGAGAAAAAAAAAAAGACCTTCTAGTTGTTCCACACAAAATAGTAATTTGTCTGCTGGTGCTTATACACAAGTAGTTTCTGCAATACCAAAAAACCCAAAACTCTCAATTTAGTTCTTTTTTCTTTTTTAGAAACTAGACAGATCCAGCAGTTTCAGTTATTATGTCACGTTTATCAAAGTTAAAAGGCAAGGTGGTTGTTCAGCTCTGCTTAAGACAAGTTCTTCTTTTAGGCCCAGTGCCCCACACCAATAAAAGAATTTTCACTTTGGATATAATGCAACAGTGCCTTAGCCTTTCCTTGGCAAATGAGATGAACATCGGGGGGAAAAAAAAAAGGCACCAAGGTTCAGCTTGGAAAAATGGAATTTCTGGAAGAAAGATTAAAATAAATGAAATATCACTGGTTTGGCCAGCAGCAACTGGGGGAGAATGAAACAAATATTGGAATGACATAAATCCTGAGGAATTACAGCATTATAAGGAAGGGCTGAAAGTGAAGAAGGTAAAATTTTGGCTGTCTGGCCACAAGAGTTTCCTGGTGCAGATATCCATTAGAGAAGCAGTCTTACGAGGAAATGGTGAAGGATATATAACGTATGGCATTTATAACTAGACTAAACAAAAACTACACAGTCCTTCCTCCACAGACAAATCCACCTCTACATCCCGTGGATCCCATGCACTGCACGAGCAGCCACGTTCTGCAGGAGGCACAACAAGGAGCAGTGACTTTTGCTCTTGAAGCACAGCCCAGCCAAACCTGGGCTTTGAATGATGCTGGGCTCCAACTCGTGTGGTTTGAGATGCAGCTTCAGTCACAACCAGCCCTGGAGCAAAGTATCCTTGGGCTCAACTCCCTGGTACCAAGCCAGGCTTTGGCAAGAGGTAGAAACCTGCCAATAATAGAGCAAAGGTGACTCCACCCTCGTGGTGCTTCTTGCACCAAAGGTCTTTGATGATGTGTTGGGATGGCCTTGGTTCTGGGCCATGCTGGAAAATGCTGAAAGCCTCAGGGGTTGGGAAAATCTTCTCTTTGTCTTGCAAAGATTTAGATTCTGCTTGGTTTAGGGTCTCATTACACCCCACCACCACCAGGCCTGAAGGTGCTCCAAAAACACATCTCTCATGTGACCTTCCTTTCTCCAATTCCCAGTGGGGTGAGTAGGTGGTCACTGGTCTGACACTATTTGCTCTGTGAGGGTGAAGATGGGACCTTTCCCCTGTAATGAAAGGTTAGAAGTCTCCTTAATTCAGATTCATCTTTTTTTCTCCCACTGTTCAAGGCCTGGAGAAGGATTTATTCAAGGTGACCAATAGAACTGAAAAGTCCTCAGTGTTGAACACTGAAAAGCTCAGATGAAAAAGGTTTTTGAAAAGATAACCCAACTCTCAGTCTTGCAACCCTGGTGCTGGTGGTCTTCTACAAGCCTGCTCCTTGTTAAATATACTGGAACAGGTTTTTTCATACCTCAAAGCCTAAAGTTTCTTCTTGTCCGGAATTTGGAAGCAACTCTCCTGATTTTATCCTGCTTCTTGGATGTTTTCTTTACTTTAGAAACCAGAGACACACTTGCTGAGCAGGATTAAGCTCTTGGGAGCTATTTTTCTCTTCAGTTTTTCTGGCCTGTATTAAGAAAACTTGGCAAAATACTGAAGGGCAGAGTGGATGGTTGTGGCCATTTGAGGGTGGGATGCATGTGAGATGGCTCATGTGAGACTATTTGGATGCCAGGACAGTGTCATCTTCCCAGTCGTTGTGCAAGGCCAGTGACCAAAACTAAAACAGTGGGAAGCACAGAATCATGGAATTGTTAAGGTTGGAAAAGGCCCCGAAGATCACCGAGTCCAACCATCAGCTCAGCACTGCCAAACCCGCCACTAAACATGCAAAGCTTCATCATTCAACAGCAGCTTCATTTCCTTTCTGCTTTGTCAATGAGTTTTCCATGAGGGAGAAGAACTCTAACCCTGATAACCAAAACAGATAAGCACACACATCTCCATTAACCCAGCAGCACAGCAAGGTGGCCTTCACTAATTGTTCACAGCTAAAGGGAGATTTCAGCTTCCAAAATTGTACTTGGACATGAAGCAGAGGAGAATCCAGCTCTCTGTGCCACTGCCAGTTCAGTGTGCAGCAAGAAAAGCCTCACATATCTGCCACACATGTCTCCTGAAAGCGAGGAGAGACAATGGGGCCCATCTATTGTCTTGCAGTTGCTCAGGGTTTTGTTTTTTCCAGCCAGAAAAGAATTGCATTTTGTATGGTGACTCCTCTGCATCCCAAGGGGCAGCAGTGGGAGAAATGTTCTCATTCCTTGAATGCTATTGTACTGAGGTTCCCTCTGTAGCATGTACTCATAAGCTGGTGGGACATCTCTCCATGACGCTGGCAATTACACCTCCTTCAAGAATGGATGGGAAAAGATCTGTGCTGCTCATCTCCACAGGAGTATTGTTAAATAAGAGTTAAATACAGACCCAGGCTTACTGGCATCTGGAGGAAACCCTGACAAAAGCTTTCAGACATCAGATGTGTTTCACATTCTCTCTGTGCGATGGGATCCTCAAACAACATCTCTTAAAACTGGTGGGGGAACGGCAGAGAGGGAATGTTTGGCTGAATCCAGATTCCATGCTCAGGAAAGCTCCTCATGAACCAATTTTTGCAAACCCAGTGTGTTTGTGTAGAGAAGAAGTGTTTGTATTAATATCTCAAATAAAATGCCAGTGGAAGTTCTGTTTTCCTCAGTCAGCCATACAAGCTGGAGCTGGTGAGTTTGTCTTGCCTCTTGTTCCTACTCCAGAATGTCCCTTTTTTGAGATCTCTTGCCACCACTTTAGCAGTAGTCACCGGTACTGGGGATGGTGGTACAAAACATAACCCCCCATCTGGGCTGGTCACCTTCCCAAAACTACTGGAGACCCCATGTGTGGTCACCAAATCCCAGTCCTTCCAGGATGGGAAGTCCAATGGAGAAAACCATATGGCCCTGTGGACACTGCCCAACAGACATTTAATCTGGGGCCGTGGTGTTCTCATAAACATGAAAAACATAGTCCTAAAATTCATGGTTTTCTGAAAATTTGAGTTGGCCTCTCTGAGCCGAGTGGCCACCAGCCTAAAGGTAAATATTGGGATAAGAGTTAATGCCTGTCCCAGGAAGAAGGCTCTGCTGTCAGGATCACCAGGTGATTTGTTTAATGGGTGACCATTTTGTTTCTTAAAGCTTTCCTGCAGTGTGACAAAGAATTGCCAAGAATTAATGCCAGTGTTTGTCACAGAGGACTCAAAGCAAACTGTTATCATCTCCATTACTGCTGTTGTTATTGTGTGATGGCACGATCCCAAAAGTCTGTGCTGACCATCTGGGAAGTCCAGAGTGGTCAAATCATTGAATCACAGAATGGTTTGGGTTTGGAAGGGACCTTAAAGGCCACATAGTTTCACCCCTCTGTGATGAGCAGGGACACCTTCCACTAGACCAGGTTGCTCCAAGCCCTGTCCAATCTGGCCTTGAACACTTCCAGGGATGGGACATCAACAAATCCTGCAAACTCACCTCTCTAACACCAAGTCTTTCCTCTGTATTTACAAATTATCCCTTGGCTTATGCCACTGTTGCCCCCAGTGCAGGGAGAGGGCAGCATTCCCTGGAGCGCAGAGGGACAGAGCATTTAGCCATTGGCCTTGTTAGCGTGACAAGCCCTTCCCTGGTTTCATTAAGCATCCAAGTTGCTGACATTCCTGTTGAATGCTAAGTGGGGAGCTTTTCAAGAGTGGCAGCTGGGTCAAGATGTGCAGGATTAAGGAGTTAATGCAATTTGGTCCTCGGCAAGGAAATTTACTTTTCCGTGGAGAGGTCTCTGGTGTGAGGGAATGCTTTGGGTTGTTCCTTCAGAAAGCAGGGGATGGGCATGGGTGTGCAGGGCAAGCATGGGAAGAGTGTGAGGCAGCTGAAACACCATCTCCTATGGCCACAGTGTGTCCCCTTCCCAAAAGGAGATATCTGGACAGGGAAGGGGAAAATGAGGTCCTTGGATAGCAAACACTGGAGCCTGTCTGGTCCTCACTTAGTGGATGGAGAGAGTTTGGTGAATAGGAAATGAAACAGGCTGGGGAGGCAGATCTCAGGTGGACTGTTCAGCCAGAACACTTGCTTTGGGGTTTTTCCTTTTCTTTTCTGCCTTGACAATACAAATACCTCACAAGAGCAGAGCATTCTTTCTCTCCCTTTCTATCCCTTGTAGGAATAGATTCAGCAAGGACTAGAGATACAGGGGGGGGCAGCTCCCAGCTGACTCTCAGGGATGCAAAAAGTGATGGTAGCTCAGGTCTTGGTGGCAGGGAGGTCTTAGATGTGACACTGGGAGTCCTGGCCAGCAAGATAAACTCATTGCACTGAGTGTCTGAATAGCTGTAGCATGAAT